CATTTCACTTGCAAAAGCAGAAACATAATTTACCTGCTTAACTGCACCAAATGTGGCAAACAATATGTAGGTGAGACCAAACGACACTTCTGTATCAGACTCAAAGAACACTTTGCAGATATAAACCACCAAAGGGACAAACCCGCCGCCAAACACTCCGTAGGACACTCAACCAGAGACCTACACTATCAAATCATACAACAGCTCAAAACAGACCCTGAGTCAGCTCAGAGCACGGCCAGGCGCCGGTCCATTGAACTTAAATGGATATTCGATCTCAAAACCATCCACCCGCAAGGCATGAACGATAAGATCTAATCCTGGAATTCCCCAACCCACTCACCTATTCTGTTTTCTCTTCTGGAATGACAGCATTAGATCACACAGCCTCCCTCTTCACAAACCCGCTTCTGATAAACCAATCGGAACATGACGTCACAACTACCACACTAGTTGTGACGTCACAGGTCTAATAACAGTGACATTCATCACTATGACGTCACAATCGGTACTCACAAACTATGGAGCCCCTCCAATGCCCACACTGCCCGAAGTATTACTCACGCCGGGATGGGCTCAAAAGACACATAAGGAGCACCCACAGCTCAGATAGGTTCATTTGTGTGTCATGCCATAAATCCTACAAACGACAGGATGATTTCAAGAATCACCACAGCCATCATGGAACATACACTGCCCACCAAGCAGCTACCGTTGACATCACCGCCACTATGAACGTGAATGACGGCCTAACAAGGCCAGAAATCCCAACCCCACCGGGAGAAGGACGGCTGAGCGCACTAACATATAGCGCGCATAATACCACCGGCAAGCCATCATACGGCCTGACCACAAGCGCGACACAATCCCCAGATTCTTACAGGGACACACCACTGGAATCATCGCCATACAGCCCGGCGCTGATACTCCCCCCACCATTCACAAAATGGAGGGAGTACCTAAATGACCCTAGTGTCATCTTAGACACCGAATTCTGGTCTGTCTACAGGCCACAGAACAGGGAAGACATGGCCAAGCCATCTCTCTCTAATAATAGACCTAATATGCCAAAGATCCGGCCTAACAGTCCCATTAATAAGTTATAATTGGGTTCACAATACAAAAGGTTTGTTCTGTTTTATGGTCCATTCACCATTGGTAACTCCGGAATCTACATTGGGACCACATCCAGTCCCAGTAAATATACATTCAACAAACCCTATGCATTTTTGGCTGACTACGACCACTGTGATATTAACACATATAAAACACAATAATAAATTTCGAAACTAGAATTTATTGAAGCGATCGTAAAATCATGACAATCGATAACCCATCTGTACTCATGCCGCCACCACCGGTCCACCGGTCCACGGGTCCACCGGCACACCGACCCATCGGTCCACCGGTCTTGACTATACCACTCACGATCCACCGGTGGCAATTAGCTCCACCGGTCCACCCCTGCCGGTAGACTACCCCGGTACTGCATCTGGAACACAAAATGTATATAAGGAGTCCCCCCACCCCATATACAACAGTCTGATGAGAGCATACCCGCTCGAAACTAGTCACTTAGATTGCTCTTGGGTTTTAGCCCAAAACCCTTTATTACTTCCATGAATGAAGATTCAATCAACTTTTACTGTCTATTTAGACGTATTACCATTGCTGAACTTCAGGAAGACACATGTCTAAACCATGGATCAATTGAATTTATTATTCATGAACATTTACAGATGAAGAAGATATCTGCTCGTTGAGTGCCAAAGTTTATAAATTCTGATCTTAAGGGAAAAAGAACTGACATTTCCAGAGAAAAAATAGAGCTAATTGAGGAGGATTTTGTTAAATTCCAAAAGAGATTAGTAACAGGTGATGAAACATGGCTCTACGACTATGATCCTGAGTCAATCCATGGAATGGCACCATTCCACTTATCCGGCACAAATAAATTTAAGTCTAATATCAGTGAAGCCAAGGGTGTGATCCTTGTTGATTACTTAGAAAGTCAAAAGACGATTACCGGTGCCTATAATGCTGATTTGCTTCATCGCCTGAGAGATTCTATCAAGAAAAGCAGCGAAAAATGCTGACTGCTGGAGTTTTTTTCACTTTTTCAGGTCAATGCCTGTTCTCATGACTCAAGACAGTCGGCTATGTATGACTTGAACCAGATGTTCCTTGGGTGTAGAAAGGAAGTTATTGGCTTGGATTGTTCGTTTAAATAGCCATGGGGCTACTGAAATGCCAAACGGCAGGACTGTTGTGGATCCTATTGAACTGGAACCTGACGAACATGACCGATCTAGTCATGCGTATGCACTGAAGTTGACTGAAGTTTTATCTTTATTCAAACATATATAAGTCAGAAGGAATATGTTCATAGTCATGAAGAAATGCGAACATTAGTGACTTGTGTAACCATGTAGTTATAGTGTAGTTATCATCTGCATCTTGTCTTTCTGGGTACTAGAAAGATGGGAGAGTAAGAGCCTGGTGTTAACGCTTGGGTGTGTACAATCTCTACAGCTCTTTTCTTTAACAAGAGACCGCCTCCGCGGTCTAAAGGTAGAGCGTCCGCCCAGAGAGCGGAAGGTCCGGGGTTCGATCCCCAGCCGCGTCATACCAAAAGACGTTAAAAGATGGTACTTGTTGTTACCCTGTCTGGCACTCTGCATTAAGGGGCTAAAACAAGGACTGGTCGGCTCGGAGTCAGTATACTGTGTCTGAGTGGGGTATTCATGTTAAACTGCGGCATGGTATCTCAGTGTGCTAGCACTATAAATCGGCATCAGTCCGGACTAGTACAAGCAGACACACACACATACACGTGCATGCACGTTGCTATATAAGTGCAATAATCTTGGATGCGACGTTAAACCCCATTTCACCTCACCTCACCTTTAACAAGATTTCTATTTTGGATTTTAGTAGCAGATGTTGTTTCCTTTGATAATCCCAAGGCGGAGGAGCTGTGGTCAGTGGTGGATCTACCGCAATGTTTATCTAGCACTACAAATCGGCAACTGTCTGAATTAGTACAAGCAGCCACTCATGTGTATGCACCTCACTATATAAGTGCAATAATCTTGGATGCTACATTTAAACCCCATTTCAACTCACCTCGCCTCTGCCACAAAAGGAATCCTGGTTTTGGTGCTTGCGGGAAGAGTGTCTAGGCCTATTTTAAGTTGCCTGACCTGCCTGCTCGTTGGGATAGACTATGAGAAACATGCTCCAACTCTTCAAGAGCAATCTCATCCTGAGCATTATTGGAGACATTTGCGTGTGTATCCATGACTTGGTCATTGAACAAAGCACTGGCTGTCCATTGCTTACAGAGAAGATGACATTTGAACACAGAATCCCAGTTGGAGTGCGCTAGGTATCCAAGCCTGCACTTCACCATGATCTCCGCTGGGGCTACTCTGACATGTTTTCTCATGTGGTCGATTTACGCTGTTGAAAATCAACCACTGTCTGAAAATGGTCCAGGCGGTGTGGGTTAATTTCCAATAAATCCTGCTCCATTGGACGGTTGAGGACGCTAGTGCGGATAATGGTTTGAGTACATGCCTGACTTCTGTCTCAGAGCCAGTCATCCTCTGCAAATAATCATCCAAAGAGTGAGCCTGGTCTGCTACAGTGAAAACCTGACAGTGAAATCATCTTTCCTGAATTTTGGCACTTTGAACTACGGCACAAGTGTTAGCCTTGAAAAGTCTTCATCTAGCGCCCTAACCATGTCCTTAAGCACAGGATCCGCTGGTATAGACGTGGGTTGTGATCAGATGGTACCTCTTATCATCAACTCAGGCATATGTGCTAGGCTGAGGTGAGTATTCCATTCTGTTGATGAATCCCACTCCTTGCTGCCTGATACCTCCGATGAATCAGAATGGTGGTCATGCGCTCTCCTCGAAGGTTAACGACTTCTACTTTGATGTGTAGCTCTTACTCTAGAAGCTAGACGCTGCCCTCGGTGCAAGCCCTTGTGATGAAATGCCCGTAGGATGTGACGGGATTGTGGCTTGAGCTGGCACCAACCCGTGCGTGTGCAGGCATTGCTGGGACCGTCACTGTGGAGGCCATTGAAACTTGAAAAATAGAGACAGGTGCAATAAGCACAATCGAGTCAAAAGCCGTAGTAAGCGAATGTAAATGAACGTCAGCAGTCATGAGAACCATCGCAAACGCTCCACAAGACGACAAAGGTTGAGTGGTGATAACTGGGGAATGATGGCTGGAAGCGTCATGTGACTCGCAACATGATGGGACTGCTGTAGAATATTTTTGTGCGTGACCTGTCTATAAATGGAGAAACTCGGCTGAGAGAGAGGCGAGCAAAAATTGCATATAAGATTTGGAGTGCATACTTGAATTCAGTCCAAGTAACATAGTTGAGGATCTTTAGTAGATTTTTGCCATGACAATAAGTGCATCGCGCAAGCATACTTAAAAGTCTATTTAAAGTATACTAGTACAAACCGATGATAAACACAAAGTTTTTAATCAGCTACATTTTAAAATGTGAAAATTCAAATGTGAAACTCTAATAAAACTAAAGGTATTTAAATACACATAAGAAAATATTTATAAGCCAAGAATTGTAAACAATAATGACTACCACACAAGGAGGTAAATAAAATAATGCAAATTCAAATGGAGGAAACAAGCAGGAATGTGAATTGGTTGTGATGTCACGATCTGTCGCATGACAGTGGGTCCTGCAAAAGTGAACTAGAGATGGAAACGGCTCTTTTTTTTCTCGCCCAGGAACATTGTGAGGCGCTGTCTTCTTTGTCGTAAGGAGTAATGCATGATAAGTAGAACTTTAATTTGTATCTTACATGTGTAAATAAAGCACAGATCGTACATAACCAGTCAGGAAAAAGATAGTCCAAGGTAGCTTTCATGACTTCACTTGCTGCAGCACATACAAACAGATGCCACAGTTATGAACACATTCCAAAGTATTTCTTGTCTATTGTCCTCAGGTCTGTTGGCTTAATCTTCATGTTTTCCTGGCTGTTGATGCTGCTAACAACCCTAACCTTCACAATAGGAGCACCATTAGAGCGATTTGTGTGTCAGCCTCTTTCGGATCCTGAGCTTACCATCTTCACCAAGGTTTGTGTACAGTTACAAAACTTTATGTTGCTGAAGGGCAGTAATAATGGGCTTAATATTTCATGATATTGATAATAATTATTATCTCTGGCCATGAAGTTACGAGTGTTATTGTAAATATATTTCTATTGTATGTTCTGCTGCCACCAGCAGTATGTACAAAACTGTTTCTCGCTTAATTCACACAAAGATCACATACTAGTTTAAATCCATAAACCTATACCACATGTCCACCTGACAACAGTCTTCATGGCTCTAGCATCAACAGAAAAGATACAAATAGGGGTTAATCGTATATTTATGAGACACTTCTTTTAGTATTTTTACTGCATGAGAGTAATAACAAACAACTGAAACTCAAAGAACAAAAACAATGTGCAACAAACAATGTTGATACATATAGCCAACTTAGTGTGTTCTATGCATATGACTGCTGTCTGAGTGACGTGATGTTTTTCAGATTTCCTGTAGGTTTGTGATGGAAAAGTTAATATCTTTATATTGCCTAACATACTGACTATCCAAAAACGTACCGGTTATGATTAATGACCACAACTGTAGATTCAAACAGCCCTTGCACTCATTCAATTTTAATGGTAGCCGACTCCATATCTTGTAATGATGCGCACACACTCTAGATTTCTATAGTCCATTCCTACAGACATAATCCACTAGGATTATGCAGTACTGTCTCTCAGCCCCAACTGAAAGCAGTAATCTCTAGCATGGCGGGAAAATCGAACACGTAGTTCTCCAGAGAACAAGAGACAGACGTCATGGGGTATGCTACTAAATCTAGAAGTATCTATTGAAAAAAGCTTTCCAGACAACAAGCTCCATAACTCCAGCTTTGACAAAAAGACAGCAAACGGGACTTATTAGGGCTCCAAGCCGAAAGGCTGTAGAGCCCTGTTGTAATCGTTCGATTTATTATTATTATTTATTATTATTATTATTTATTATTCCGCCGATTTTTGTACCTGCCCTAGCAAAATAACCACCGGCTCGATTTTGTTCAAATTTTGTGGGTGTTTGTAGACCGTTGGGTACTAGTGCCCGCCAAAAACCCTAGGGCGTAGGCCTAAAGGCCAAGGGCAGATAACTGAAAAACAAGTATTTTTTGAAGATGTATTTCGCCCTATTGCTCCGCAACCGCTTATCCGATTACTTTGAAACCTTGCATGTATCTGCTGCTTGAGCTGCTTGACATTTTTTGTTCTTTGACTTTGGTCATTGGTCACATGGTTTGGCAGCCATATTGGATTCAAGGTTTTCATAGTGTTTTGGGGGTACCTGTCTTCAAATGCAAACAACTTTGAATCCACTGCATGAAATGCTTTCAAACTTTCTGATAATTGTCTCCATACATACATGTAACACATCAAACTTTAATAGCCGATTTCGGAATTCTTTTTTAGTTAGGGCCATATTGGATTTTGATTTTGATAATTTTGTTCAACGAAATTTTGCTTTAAAGATCATATCTTGTAAGGTTCTCCACAGAAACTATTGCAAGTTTACATGAAGTTAGTGTGCCATATGCATCTCATTTATTGTTATTGGTTGTATGCTAAAAGTAACACCGCTTGGTGGTAATATTTGATTTATATTTGGGACACCCCTGGAACACGCCAATTTCGTAGCGGCGATTTACGGTGACTATCTTTTGACAGAGTTGGCACAAGCAAACCTTTTATGGATTCGAACATGATTGAGGTCGGAAATGGTTTAAGAACAGACCTGGACCCCCTGGCACACGCCAATTTCCTAGCGACGATACCCTGCAAGTGGTGCCTACATTTGACGGATTTGGTTCAAGGAAACCCTTTGAGGATTCGAACATGGACGTTTGGGCACAGTGTTACTTGGAGCCCGCCATTGCTGCTTGCAGCTTTAATTTGTACCTGAGACGCTTCTTTCAGTATCTTTACAGCATGAATGTTAAGGTGTAACTGAAAGGCAAGCGGCTTTAGTTTTCACTGGCACCCAAGAACAAAACATGTGCACCAAACACTATTGATATGTAATACCAAGTGTGAATGTTTTCTATAAAGAACAGTTGAAAGTAAGAGTAGAAAAGTAAGTTTCTGAAGACATTGAAGCGGTGTAAAATCTCTTTGTCTTACCACAAAGTGACATTTTCAAACCATGTCAGATCACAGTTTGGTGTGTGTAGGACGTTTGGAAATCAAACATAGGAGTTGTGGATGTGACATTTTCAAACCATGTCAGATCACAGTTTGGTGTGTGTAGGACGTTTGGAAATCAAACATAGGAGTTGTGGATGTGACATTTTCAAACCATGTCAGATCACAGTTTGGTGTGTGTAGGACGTTTGGAAATCAAACATAGGAGTTGTGGATGTGACATTTTCAAACCAAGTCAGATCACAATTTGGTGTGTGTAGGACGTTTGGAAATCAAACATAGGAGTTGTGGATGTGACATTTTCAAACCATGTCAGATCACTGTTTGGTGTGTGTAGGACGTTTGGAAATCAAACATAGGAGTTGTGGATGCGACATTTTCAAACCATGTCAGATCACTGTTTGGTGTGTGTAGGACGTTTGGAAATCAAACATAGGAGTTGTGGATGCGACATTTTCAAACCATGTCAGATCACTGTTTGGTGTGTGTAGGACGTTTGGAAATCAAACATAGGAGTTGTGGATGCGACATTTTCAAACCATGTCAGATCACTGTTTGGTGTGTGTAGGACGTTTGGAAATCAAACATAGGAGTTGTGGATGTGACATTTTCAAACCATGTCAGATCACAATTTGGTGTGTGTAGGACATATGGAAATCAAACATAGGAGTTGTCGATGCGACATTTTCAAACCATGTCAGATCACAGTTTGGTGTGTGTAGGATGTTTGGGAATCAAATACGTAGGTGTTGCAAATGCATTTCAATATCTATTTGGATATGAAAATACTAAAAAGTGCCAAGTCTGACAGTTATTGGATGATCTGCTGAGGAACAATAGGTTGTTAAAAGATGTTATACATGAGTTATGTTTTATTTTGTCTCTCCGTAGTCTTCAAAGCTATGTGGCTACAATTAGACATGACAATCAACAATCAAAGTCGAGTTACAGGTGTTTAAAATACAGTGTATTTGAGATCAAGAAACACTGAACAGATCGCAGAAACAGAGCAAGCAAGAACATATTTTTGACACTAGGGCGGATCGGTAATACACAGCAGAGGTCGCATTGTCATTGTCTCAATAGTTGAAAGGATAAGTGTTCTGGGTTTGCCAGGACCCGGGCTATTAGTTGCATTGCTATGATATTTTCACATATGACCAAGAACAGAGATTCTTCAGCAACCAAAGCAACATATGACAGAGGTTCTTCAAGTCCTTTACCTGAAAAACACTGGAATAATAAAAAGTAATGAATATAGCTGCGAGCAATGATGTCGGGCACCATCATTTCTTATACTACAATTCAAAGTCATTTAGTTCAAGCCTACTTTACTCCACTTTATAAATACACTGCACATGAGTATGATATAGTGTAATTAATCATTTGATATTTAACTGGTCCATTTTGACGAAATTGGTGTGTTCTTAACCCATTTCAGTCCATTGCTGTCAAAAGTAAGGCACTGCTTGCGGTATATCGTAATTGATGTGTGCAGGTTTGTCCCAGTGTGCTAAACCCATTTCGGGGGTAGAATAGGTCTTTAGCAACCCATGCTTGCTGTAATAGGCGACTAATGGGATCTGGTGGTCAGGCTCCCTGACTTGGTTGAGGCATGTCATCGTATCCCAATTGTGTGGAACGATGCTCATGATGTCAATCACTTGATTGTCTGGACGAGACTCGATTATTTACAGACTGCGGTCATATAGCTGGAATATTGCTGGAAAATTTCTGCAAAAATGATCAAAATCAAATCCAAATATGGCTGCAACTAAGCAAGATATCCAAAAACACATGTCAATGTTTCATGAGTTATGTATGGAGACAATTCTCAGAAAGTTTGGAAGCAGTTCATTTTGTGGATTCAAGAGAAGTATGTACTTGAAGACATTTGAAAAACACTCTGTGAAAACCTTTAATTCAATATGGCTGCCAAACAACGTGACAAACTGTCAAACACATAAAGCAGCAGACACATGCACAGTTTGAAAGTAATCAGACAAGCAGTTGCAGAGCAATAAGGCAAAATTACTCTTAAAAAATTACTTGTCTTTTACTTATCTGCCCTTTGTCATTGGGCATACGGCCTTGGGATTTTGTCATAAACTAGAGCTCAACGGTCTATACATACTGTAAATCTGGAAATTATTGCATCTCCAAATTAATACGACTGCTGACCCCGAGGCAAAAGTGCAACTCAATATCAATGCGACTCCCGCCACCCCATCCCCAGTGGAATGATACATATCCTTATCTTAATCCAACCTTACCTTAATCCAATCAAACAGCAAATAGCACCGCTTATTAGCACTGAATAGAGCACTTCCGTAAGAACAATAAACAGTATTTTCCAAAAAGCAACACACTGTTTATATGTTCAGGGTTAGAAACTAACAGTTTTTGTCCACAAGTCCTTATAATGATAACATATAGCAAAACCCTTAAAATGGGCCAATTTCTTCAGTCCTTAGGATACCTTTACTATTTGGTAAGGCTTAGAGGACTAGCACCAGTGTCTAACGCTGATGTTTACTCTGTTGACTGGCATTGAACCAACAACAATTCACTGATGGGTTTGCGGAGAATGTGTCAACAAGTTTGACACAGGTGGGTAGAACACTTGACCCCAGCAGTGATAACTCACAGGATGCCCATTGTGTAGTTCTTATTCTTAGAATGACATTGTTATATACTTGTTACAACTGCCACTCAATAGGCTGTGTTTGTGTTTATATTCAAGCTGGTATTTCTGCTATCCAATGTGTGCAGTGAAGCCGTCTTATAGTCATTTTGGAGACAAAAATGCGAAGTTAATTAATGTGAGCAAAGACCATTCGCATTTTCGCATTTAATTCACGCTTGCGTTAATTTCAAGATTTACAGGGTACAAAATTTGGACAAAATCGAGCCAGTGCATGAAACTAAGCTTTTCCATAGTTTGGTACTGAACATTACAATTTCGCCATTCAATAGCTCGGTCCAACTATATAAAATATTTTCAAAACTTCGGCCCAGAACGATTTAGTGCTGGGTGCTTATAAAGATTACTTTCAGTTTGAGCTAAATGTTGGCCAGGTGTTTAGTATTTTAAAATCTAAAAGCTTTGAGGGAATGGCATGGATGGAACTGCTTCTGTTTAAATCAGAACTGTGTATTCTGTACCAACCAGGACAGATGAGCAACTTGGCCCTGTAGTGATTATAATTGATGGAGACATTATGATTTTGACTTTTATATTTTTCAGCTGTTTGATGAGATGCACCTTCTTGGAGGAAGTGACAATGGCTCTTTCCTTGGACAAATGCTATTTCAAGATCCGTCCATTGATCTTACAGTTGCAAATATTTTGAAGTAAGTTGAAGAGACAGCTTGAAATAAATATAAGATAAGATATATAAAACTAGTATTGTGTTGAAAATGCCATTTTTAGTTCCAAAGTTTAATACTTTGTAACGCTTTTATGACATATGACATAGAATACTGAAATACATAAAAAATACACAGGATCATTCTTACAAGTGTTTAATGAACCCGCACCTGCTTCTTTGTCTGTAAAAATCGACTAAGTAATTCTTTACCCAAATCACTTGATTTTATTTTGATGGAATTTTGTGTTTGAGTTTGTTCAAGGCATCAAAATTGCAGTTTCAATATATTAGTCAGGTAGCCATCTTTAATCTGAAAATAGAACTTGCATAAGCTTCTTCCCCAAAACCTAATGGGTTAGAAGTCTGAAAGTTTATTTGAGGAGATGGTCATTATATGTAGTTTTATTTGAGGGATCATGATCAGAAAGCAAATGTGACTGCCAGCATATGTTGATGTAAGCCATCATAAACATTTCTTCAGAAACAGCTGGAACAGTTAAGCTAAATCTTCACCTTTTGAAACCTCTGTGGTACAATATGAAATATGGTGCACTACTAAAACTATATAGCAATATGTAAAAAATATTTAGTACAACTAAAAGATTGCTGATGCGATGTAAAACTTGGATTTATAATGACAATAACGACACTACAACAGGTAAAGAACAACATTTATTAGTTTTGGGCATATGGGGATTTTCAGTATGTACATATATAAATGAACATGAAAATAGTATATGGATACCATGAAAAGTCCCTAAATAGGAGACACACACTCAAAACTTGTTTGAGGGGAAAGAGACTTGGCGGAGTATATGAATGTGGACAGTAAAGATTATACCTGATCGCCAGGCCGTACCTCTGCCAAGTAATCCAAGTAGGAGTTGCGCACCTCATTCCTCACTCCCGAGCGCCAGGAGTACTTGGCAGAGTAGACAAGTGATGAAGAATCAGATAGTTTGGCGTTGGTCTATCAAAAAGAAATCTGTATGAATTTTTTTTTTAAATAATTGACACTGAAAATTTCAAGCACTTAACCAAAGAGTATTCAAAGAATGACAAATCCTAGATATTTTTTTTTATTTGTATACTTATCCTGCATAACTCCTTAATGCATATACTGCTTGTTCTTGACAAAGAAACGAGCAGTGTGAAGATCTTTGCTTGAAGAAGTTGTTCCAACTAGCTGAGACACCAACCCTTTCACACAGCTCCCACATGACCAGGGGAAGTGACGTCATGGATTCTCACATTACTCTGGAATCCGGAACATCAGAAGGCATCATGGTTAGGCAGCTCTGCGACGGGCGGGTCTCTTTAGTCCGAGTAATGCAGGATAAGTATACAAATATAAAAAATATCAAGGATTTTACTAGATTTTTTACTTATCCTGCAATACTCCTTAATGCATCTTTATCTGATGGAATTGGTAGAGGGTATACCTTCAGATGTGGCTTTGTAGGCCGGGAGAATGATTGCTCGCAGCCAGATGGCGATCATGCTGTGGCTGACTTCCGCCCGCGAGGTTGCAGATTCTTGTACAAAGAGGCGGTGTCATTGTCTACGGCGTTCCTTTGAACTATGGATGTAACAACGGAGCACTCTTACTGGGCACAGAAGCAGCTCTTGTTCATCTTCCGCGCCCACAATCGAAGATAGGGTAGGGATGAGAAACGATTTATCGGGCTGTCATGGGAGCTGGTTCTTTGCAATGAAGTCCCAACACTGTGCAAGCACATCATACGCAAAGCGGATGGGTGACGTCCAGGGGCTGTAGCTCACTGATACTGACTGCTGTAGCGAGCGCAAGGAGGAAGACCGTCTCTTTCATCAGATGGTAGAACGCCGCTGCATCAAGGGACTCGGAAGGGCGGATCTCTCAGCAAGGTGAGAATGACGTTCAAATTCCAAGCTGGTTTCGCCTTCTGGTCTTCCAACCTGAATGAGCGAGCAGATCCTGTAGTTCCATGATTCTCGTCATGTGCTGATCTTCCAGAACCGCCAGGATGGAGTTGAGTGCCACAAGGTAGGTTGTATTGGCACTACCTTTGAGTCTACGCTTGTGGTGATGATAGAGCAGGAATTCAGCCAGGAATTGAGGTGATGCAGGAAATGGAAAGCCAGGTGTGTCTGAGGTCCTGTTTCCAATGAGCTGGGGCCAAGATAAGCGCCTCCAATTCTATGTTGTTGATGCGCCATAGGCACTGATCGGTGGACCACAGCCCCAAGGCGACCTGTCCCTCTAGGTGTGTGCACCATCCCTGCAGGGAGGCGTTTACAAATAGGCGTAAGGTCATAAGCCCTGTCAAGGAGACGCCGCCTTACACAAAGGGGTCCTGACGCCTGATGTAGGAAGCCAGGAACATCTGGACTGGGCGCAGTTGAAGCCTTCCTCTGTATGTCCTATGCTGAGGTTAGGAGGCCCAGGAGGACTTGCCACAGACGCAGAGTGCGTGGCTGGTGGAGGGCTGGAACCAGGTGTCATTGTATGCGCTCCCACTGGTCCCTGGGTACAGAGAGGAGGTCGAGGTTTGTCTATTAAAGACCCCAGACGAACTGAAGGCAGAATGAAGGCATCAACTCTGACTTCTTGAGGTTGATCTTCCAATCTAACTGGTATAGGAGACGGAGGGCGAAGTCGCTGTGGCGAAGTAGAGTGACCGTGTCCCAATGATTCTAGTGTCAGTCGTCGATGTAGGCCTCAAACTGAATGTCCCTGAGATGTAGATATGAGGCTATCGGCTTGGAAAGCTGTGTGAACAGCCACGGGGCCGAGGAAATTGGTGGACTGCCCATTGGTAATGGACTCTCAGGAAGATGAAGCGAAGGAATTTCCGGTCGTCGGGTTGGATTGGGACATGTAGATATGCGTCCCCGATATGCGGGCTGATGAGCACATCGTGTGCCTGGATCCGGCCTGAGTGTGGTCCTTTTGTGGGGGACAAGTAGGTTGGGTGAGTAGAAGCCCTGTGTTATGGCTGGGGCATGTACAACATCCTTGGCCTCCTTGGCCAGCAGCAACGAGATCTTCTGCCATAGCAGCTCCTGTTGAGTAAGGAGGTAGGCGTCCGCTATGTGGGAGGCAGGTCATCTAAAAGCGTCAGCTTGTGCCCCTGCCTGATGTTGTTGGTGACGTATGGATCCCCCAGGATCTCCCAATTTTTCCAGAATCAACCCAGTCTCCCACATACTGGAGAGTCGACATCTGGGACGGCTGGGAAGGTCCTTGCAGTCACCACTTTCTCCCTTGGAGTGGCCGCCGTGGGACTGGTACGAGCACGAGGACTTGCCTTTGCCTCTGCCTCTACCACAAAAGGTTGAGGTGGAGCCCCGCCCCCGGGGCTGGAGAGTGTTGCGTCACGGCTGGTAGGAGCAAGACTGGGATGACTTAAAGAGGCTGACTGTGCTACCCTAGCCAGGGCCTTGATAGCAATCTCGTCTCAAGCGAAGCCTGAAACTCAAGAGTGGGTTTTAAATGGGTCAGAGGAAGACCAGGGTTGACAAAACAGGTCCCTCTTGAATTCTGGGTCCCTATCTGACAGAGCAAGGTAGCCAACGCGCCGTGTGGTTGTGAGTTCAATCAGAGCGACTTGCATATGGGAGCGCATATGCTCGACCAGTCTTTGGAGACAGGATAAGATGGTGGGAAGGTGGTCTATCCGGTGGGGATTATCCTCCGACAGGTCCTGGAGAGTGGCTCTGCAGCTCGACGCCATAAGTGGCTTGAGAAAATGATGAATCTCAGTTTCCATATAAGTGAGAATGTTGTCTGAAACTCATACCCAGGTGGGACAGTTGGACACGGTCATGCCGTGAAGATCCTCGTCTAACTCATGGGTGCGGTCCGCAATCTGGAGATAGTTTATCAGATAATGGCTCCATCTGTAGCATGGGGCTCTAAAGGATGGAGTCAGTGAGAGCTTGCTTAAGTCCTCGTCATGGGCCAAGATCATGTCCTTGATCAAAGGATCCGGTGGGAGGGAGGCAGGGTCCGATCTAATGGCGGTCTTACTATTGATCTCTAGGTCAGGGGAAGGAGCGACTGCCTCAAGTGTGTCCACCAACCAGTCTGCTACCTGGTCTAGCCCAAGGTGGGACTCGCCGTCAGTGGGAGTGTCATCATAACATGGGATGAAGTCACCCTCTGAGGAGTGCAAGCGGTAACCACTAGAGTGTCTGTGGACAGGAGAGCGGCTCCTAGAAGCTTACAATGGAAAAACAGGTTTGCAGCAGTACATGTATGTGCATACAGGTGACATAAAGTCTTTTGGTGTTGGTGACAGGATAAAATACATCTGACAACAGTAATCATGTATACAGGGACTTTTCTTTTCCCTCCACCCAGAAGACTGAGACATATGGAACATGATATGGACCTATACTGACTGGATGTTCAGATACCCATGAAATAATCAAGGATGTTAGATGCAAGGCTGGTGATGATCAGCATTTATTTTGAATTTTTGTACATCACATTGACTGATGGACAAAAACATGTTGACTACAGTTCACAATGGTTTGTGTACCTTTAGGGACATGCATGAGCATCACTCACACACCTGAGAATACTGCAACAAACCCGGAAAGTCCTGCCAGAATAATTATACATTATTTCATTGGTGAGAACCCATAAAATAAATGCATAAGGTAGGATCTTTTCCATGTACTTTTCTCTAACAGAACAGAACTGCAAGAATTGTCATTGTGCCCTATTCCTTATTCAAAAGATAACATTCTCTTATAAATATATGTCAAACTCACCAGTTTAAGTGCCACCCTGGTTCTTGTGATTAAACAAACACAAATTTCATGTACTGTTGCAAGAAATTAATGGTTCATATTCATATTACAATTATATTTTAGAATTGTTTTGTTTGGAAACAAACCACTTAATGCACAAGAATAATGTCCATATGAGTTTAATATGTACATGTTAATGATCTTATCTATTTATTCCTTATTCATGGAGTACTAAAATTAAATAATGACACCAGGTAGTTACTAATTCATATAATTGATGTTCAGAAGGAAAGATTATACTTGTTAAAATTATAAAAGTTACAGTAAATCCTATCTCGTCCCCAAACAAAGTTTCCAGCTTCTAAGCTCCTTTCGCCCACACACCCCTTGCATCACCATGACGACCAACTCTTACAATCAGGTGACACCAGAATCTCGTACAGCCTGCTGTACATGATTTGGTCACCTGACACCCTTTGCCTCATCATTCTCTTTCTTGGAGCTGCCAGGCTAGAGTAACTGGGATGCGGGGTCGGATGGGCGGGCATAGATTGTGTGAGATAGGACAAGTATACTATTATAAATATTTAATTTACTGTAAAATTTAGAAAGTTTTAAATTTATTGTACCTCACTCTATGAATATATCCCATGGTTGGATGGTGGGTCGCAGATTACCCTAGCCTGTATTCATCTTATAACAGTTAGATGTACATGAGGAAGCTGTTGCTGAACGTGCTTCAACCATAAGATTGTCACACATTTGCGTCTGTACACAATGACTCGTGATTTTATGGGTGGATCACCGCACTTGAGTGAGAATACCCCTTTATGATACAATTACTCAACGTCATGCCATTGGGTATAACATATGCTGTGTGTCTTCGCATAGGACATCAATCAATCAATCTTTATTTCAAGTACTGAAAAGGGCTTAGGCCTATGGTACATATACAAATGTGACGGATTTGGTACGAGGAAACCCTTTGAGGATTTGAACATGGACGTTTGTGCACAGTGTAACTTGGAGCCCGCCATTGCTGCTTTGCAGCTATATTTAAAGTTTATTTCTATTCTTTATTTTTTTCTATGTGTTGAATTTCAGATTGTAAAACTTCCTTTTCATTGTCAGTCTTCCTGTACTCACTGCCGAACTCGATCTGATGTCTCGTTTAATATTGCAGTTAAAGTGAATCTTGTTACCTTTTCTAGACCAGGCATAATCTTTCTCATCCTTCAATGTTTAAAGTTGTTGCAAGGTGATTTCCACATTGAAACCCAGAGCGTATCCCAGAAATCAATATGTACACAACTAAAATCTGAAGTCAGTAAATGACCACAAATCAACAAATGATATGCAACACACAAGTTTAGGTTTACAATAAAAAGGCAATAGAGAATGTTCTGAATCAAACAACTATACTTGTGCAATGACCATATACTCAACTGTTGCCTACACATATTTTTATGATTGGTTTGTTGTTTAACGCCGCACTCAGCAATATTACAGCTATATGACGGCAGTCTGTAGATAATGCAGCCTGGTCCAGACAATTCAGTGTGGTGTTAAACAACAAAGAAACAAACAAATCATATTTTAAAATTTTTAAATTAAAATTTTTTAAATTTGTTTTCTTTCCATGGACACAATTTGGACTTAGTCTCGAACAAGTAGCATTTGTTTCCAACCACAACTCTGCCTGAAACCATTATCTTTCAAGGCTATAATTTGCTGGTATTTTTCTACGCACATTTACAGAATCAACTTGAACTAATGTATCAAAGAAAAAGAGAGGGGAGGTATATGTTTTTGAGTAAAAACACAGTCTAGTCTGAAATTTGAGTAATTTTTAATGTGACTTACGTGCTGCTGAATCGTGTTGATTCCATGTTCAACAAATATTAGTTTCATATCAAATGCACACCATTACATTACATATGAAGGGCACCCAAACTTTAATGTGATTGAGACAACTCCCTAAAGATTTGATACAACTGTGACATATGTATGAGTTTGTAACTTAGAGTCTATGGTAATTGATCTTTGATGAAAGTTGAACAAAGGTTATTGCGATTGAGACTCCCCTGGCAATCATGTATACCATTTTTCATCAACTACAGATCAGAACAATCACTCCAAACATTAAAACTTGCTGTTTATTGTTTCAGAGACTGCAAGTCAGGTAAAGCTGCTTACTCAGCCTTCAGACTGGACAATTTCAAAGACTTCAATATCACAGCTCTGGTTGATTACAAGAGTGTAAGTGTACTGATGGTCCATGTTTATATATAAAGAAGCATATATTATGCATGTTATAAAATGTAAGACTTAATTCAACATTTATAATTCTTACGAATCCTCTACCACGTAATTGCCATAAATTCCATATTTCTAGTTTCGATAGAACTCCTCTTCACTGTCAACTACACATGATTAGTTGTTCTCCTAACAGCACATACCGCTCTCCTGTGTGCAAGGCAGGAAAACATCTCTTCTTTCCAGTGTGTGCCGGAGTACATATCTCCTTCACATGACCGTCTCTACCACCGGTTGTAGTTACACTTACAGTAGTATAGATGATAGGGATCCTCGCCCACTTCCACTGGAGCCAGATTTATATACCTATACTGCTACTACAGAGGGAATTTTTTATGCAAAAATAATTATGTGCACAAACAATCGTCATGATCCGTATTAAAAGAATCATCAATATTAATTAATAATGGATCAAATTTAATATAGCCCACAAGGATATTTGAAAGGTATAGGAGCAATACAAAAATTAGCCACTGCGGCTAAGGTATCTAAAGATGTGGCCAAGGATTGGCTAAAGAAACAAGCAATGTGGCGAATATACTTACCAGCCCCGAGTTATATCCCGAGGAAGAAGTTTGATATTTTTACAAGGAATGAAGTTCATCAGGGTGACCTCTTGTTTCTTCCCCATGATAAGGTAAGATGCAAAACATATAAATCTGCTTTAACCGTAGTGGATGTGGCTAGTCGCTACAAGGAGGCTGAACCATTAACCTTGAAAGATTCAACAGAAGTAGTTAATGCACTGAGTCGCATATATAAATGCGGCACAGTATGGGATTGAAATGAAATGGGAACAATTGAGATCAACCGAATGGGTGACACGATTATCAGCTGTTGTATCAGCGCTGAATAATGAAGTAACGAGATTAATCAGGAAGAAACCATCCGATGCGATTAAAATGTGACTTCGGAATCTTCAGCACCGAGGAGAGGCAAAGAACAAAAACCTCCGGATAGAGTAAGCGTAAGATATTTATACCAGCCCAGTGAACTCAAGGAGGCCTATGTCGCGCAACCGATCCAATTTGGTCTCTTAAGATATATAACATTAGTCGGTTGGTTATGAAAGTAGGAGAGCCCATTCTTTATTATCTTCAAGATGGACCGGGCAGGGCATTTGTATGAGAAGAGTTGCTCATAGTTCCCAATGATACCGTATTACCACCATAACCATAAGCATAGGTAGTTACACCATCCTTATCAATCCATCTCTTTGTATCTAAGGGGGATAATGATGTCTTGTGCATTCTAATCCATATTTCCTGTGATTGACACTTCTTAAAGAGTTCATCTCGTGTTTGAATGTTCTACCATTGAATAATGCTTCTTTATACTGTTCGTGTTTGATATGCTTTTTTACCACATACTTCTTAACACCCTTAGCTTTTCTTATCTCTCCATTATCAGACTTCTTTATAGAATACTAAGATTTAGGTCTTAATCCGACATGCTCCGCTATAGGAGTCCCAGCACATTCATCCTTCATTTTCCTAACACCTTTTTATTTACTACGCTGTGCAGTGGATTATCTTTTGGGTAATTGCTCGTGTCGTACATATCTATTTTTTTCTGCCATATCTTTATACACATACTAGGTTTGTATTTCCATCAACAAAGAATCTGTGTCGGTATGTAACACCTCGCATCTATCGCAGAATTGCTTCTTAAGTTCGTTGTAATAAAAGTCATACATTAAGTGTTTTGACAAGTCGAGAATACTCATACCAACATACACCGGTCTGTTGAATTTTATATTACTCTTCTGCATATGTAGTGCGGCTAAGTCGTTATCGAATATCTTGCTTCTGTTAAAAGCCGGACTGGCTATAAGTTTCCTGAGTCTTTCTTCCTCATTAGATCTGACTAATTTAACATCAACACGCTTCCTTAGATTCTCCATAGTTTAACCAAATACTGACTTATTCATGTGCTTATATAGATTCTTTTCGAAATCGCTGGTAGCTATCTTTCGTAAATCTGTGTTCAACCTTATATAGGGCTCCATCCAAGGGGTTTGATCAAACTTTAGAACTCTGTGTATTTTCTTAAGTATCATACCTAACGATAGATATAACTGAAGATTTCTGTAGTGAACTATATATTTTGTCTTATCCATCAAATTTGGTACGAGTTTTTCTACGTTAGCTAACCTAGTATTACCCATCAAGGAGTGTTGATATTCCGACATCCAATCTTTATTAACCATTAATATTTCGGGAGCTAGCAGATAACTGTTAACTTTGTGTAACTCTGTTGGATATTCCAAGTCAACTACTAGTATGTACCCTTTATTCACATCGACCTCATGGATATCTGTAGCGTTTTAGTATCATATAACCAGTCACTCGCTTTATCCATACGATGTCTCTATATAAATGAGTGCGCACGTGTAACAGCGCCGGAAGTGTGTGTTGTGCGCTAGCAGACCACATGGCTGCCGACTACACTTGACTGAGTGTATTGACATGTAATGAGAGAATACAACCTTTCCCCGGAAAGCCAAGTGTTTGTTTTAGCTGCCAAAGTCATCACATAAATTGGCGACGAGGTAAAACTGGATGTCTTAGCGTTTTTGTGGACATTTTGTGTGATTAACGTCCGTCGTGTTTCACTCGCTCCATAAACATGGCGTCGTCTACCTCCGGGAAGATCGACGAATTTAATACAGAGACTGACAGCTGGGACATTTATTGTGAGAGGTTAGACTTGTACTTTACGGCTAGAGGTGTTGATTACGAGGATGATGTGATGAAACGGGCTATTCTGCTTAGTGAAATGGGTAAGACAGCCTACACACTTCTCCGGAATTTGCGCGCTCCTACGAAACCTAAGGAAATGAGGTTTGCTGAGATAGTGAAAGTCATGCGCGATCATCAACACCCAACACCGTCAGTGATAGTTGAAAGACTTAAATTTCACAAGAGGGATAGAAAGTCTCAAGAGAGTGTTGCAGCGTATGCTTCCGAGTTGCGCAAACTGGCAAGTACATGTGACTTTGGTACTACTCTTGATGATTCACTTAGAGACAGACTAGTTTGTGGCATTAATAATGATGCAATACAGAGGATATTATTAGCAGAGAAAGCTCTGGATTACAATAAGGCTTATACACTAGCACAGTCAATGGAATTGGCAGCAAAGAATGTAGAAGATATTAAAGTTGGTGCTTCAAGTGTTTCAGCAGCTACAGGGGGTAACATGCACAAGATGTCATCATCTCAACATGCTCCTGTCTACCCGCCATGTGACAGATGTGGTTTACGAAATCACAAATCTCCGGACTGTCATTTTCGTACCTCAAAGTGTTACAATTGTGGTAAGATTGGCCACATTGGGAAGGTATGTCGTCAGTCACAGAATAGTAAAGGTTTTCGTTATGGACGTGGCTCGTATCGATCTAGAGGTCAAGGTCGAAGTCGGGGTCAGCACAAGCGTTCAGCGACAAATCAGGTCACTCCTGATAACTATGATGATGTTGAAAGTGAAATATATGGCATTTACAAGATGGAGACTAGCTCTACACCTTTTGTTGGGAGGGGAGAGAAGGAACTACCAATGTTTATTGATTTAGCACTTAATGGTCAGCCATTAAGCATGGAGCTGGATACAGGTGCAACATTTTCAGTGATTAATGAGGACACTTACAGATCGTTAGGGAAAGATCCACCCAAACTAGGACCTCCTCATACCTTGTTACGTACTTACCTAGGTGAGAGGATACCTCTGCTTGGTTCATGCTCAGTGAAAGTGAACTAGGGCAAACAGTCAGCTCTACACCTTTTGTTGGGAGGGGAGAGAAGGAACCACCAATGTTTATTGATTTAGCACTTAATGGTCAGCCATTAAACATGGAGCTGGATACAGGTGCAACATTTTCAGTGATTTTTAATGAGGACACTTACAGATCGTTAGGGAAAGATCCACCCAAACTAGGACCTCCTCATACCTTGTTACGTACTTACCTAGGTGAGAAGATACCTCTGCTTGGTTCATGCTCAGTGAAAGTGAACTAGGGCAAACAGTCAGCAGAACTGCCAGTGATTGTAGTGAAAGGGAAAAGAGCTAATCTCTTTGGTCGCGACTGGCTGCGACATGTTCGTCTAGACTGGGGAACAATCCTCAGAGTAGATTGTGATGATGTGCAAAGTATCCTTAACTCACATTCCGATGTCTTCAAGGAGGAACTTGGTGAGTTGAAAGATACAAAAGTGAAGATTAACATATCTATTCCTTCACAACCACGCTTCTACAAGTCCAGGAACATGGCCTATGCCTTGAGGGACAAGGTTGAGAATGAACTTGAACGATTAGAGCAGCAGGGTGTCATAAAACCAGTGCAGTACTCAGAGTGGGCAGCACCCATCGTACCAGTGTTGAAGTCGGATCAGTCTTCAGTGCGCATATGTGGAGATTAGAAACTAACAGTCAACCAGGTTGCTAAACCAGATTGTTACCCAATACCCAGGATTGAGGACTTATTTGCATCACTCTCAGGTGGTCGCAAGTTTACGAAATTGGACATGAGTAATGCCTACCAGCAGATAGTGTTGGACGATGATTCCAAGAAACTCACCACAATTAACACCCATAAAGGTCTATACGAGTACAAACGATTACCTTTTGGGGTGTCGGCAGCTCCTGCTATCTTCCAGCGGACAATTGAATGTCTTCTCAGCGACTTGCCACATGTGTGCGTCTACCTCGATGATATTCTCGTCACAGGTGTTGATGATGCAGAACACAACAAGAATCTGAATGAAGTCCTTGACAGATTGCAGAAAGCAGGTTTGCGTCTAAACGCTTCAAAGTGTCACGTCAAGAAAGACTCAGTCACTTACCTGGGACACCGGATTGACGCACAGGGATTGCATCCATTAGAGGAGAAGGTAAACGCTATTGTGTCCGCACCAGCTCCTCAGAATGTGACAGAGTTAAAGTCA